TAACCACAAATATTGCTTCAAGTTTCCTCTTTCCTCTTTTCTCCTTCTCCATCTTTTTCTTCTTTTTTCCATTTGACCTAAATCCATTTTGAGTTTTTTGAATCGTTATTGTTGTTTTTCTGTAGAAATGGATTTCAGCAACTGGAGAAGATTAAGGATTCAAGTTTTCAGAGTAGGCAATTGGAAGAGCTCACGGAGAAAAGCGAGAGAGTGAATGGTAATTTTTTCTCTTTCCTTTATGATTGATGTATTTGATTTTTTGTTCATTTTATTGGATAAAGTTGGTTGTTGTTTGCGAATTCCAGCTCCGTGTTGAAAATGTGTTAAGAAGTATGAACCTAAAATCTGAATGTATTTGTCATATCTGTTGCATTTTTTCATGACAGTATGAAGCATATTCCAATGGAGGTCATATCTTGAGCATGTAAGCATGAAACTCTATACTTTTAAAGTAAGTAACAGACAAACTTTGGAAGTTATTATTTTTATTTATGAACAAGCATTTGAAAGTATTTGGTTCAGTCATGGATTCTACCATTTGAAAGTATTTGATCATTCAAAGACTCTTTTGTGCTTTTTATGCTATTTATAATTTTCTTGACATTGATTAATTTTCAATCAACGAATGAGATATGATTGTATGTGTTTATTATCAAACATTTGTGGCTAAACATTTTTCTACTATTTCTTGATGTGTAGTTCCTGCTTAATGGATGCAGAAAGGCTAAGAGAAGGTTTAGAAGATGAATATACCTATCTTAATAGATGTAGAACAACTCCCGTGAATGCATCGCTGACACCAGTGGTATCGATAAGCTCTGATAGTGGTATGTTTTCCGCTGTTCCAATGTATAACCTACCATAAATTGTTCCTATACCTTATGCTCACAACTTTGTTGTCGACTAGAAATAGTACAGGAAACTCATATCTGCTACAGTTAGGGCTGGAAATAAGTCGAGTCGAGTCGAACTTACCTCAGCTCGGCTCGACTCGTTAAAAATTGTTCGAGTTCGAGTTCGACACGAACTTTTTTTTAAGCTCAAACTCGACTCGTTATAAGTTTACGAACAGTTCGGTTCAACTCGTTAGGTTCATCTCATTAGGTTCAGCTCACATGATTCACGGACTTAAAAATTATTTTTTAAAATTTATATATTTTTTTAGTATATTTGACATTTTAAATAAATATATATTTTTAAAATAAAATAAAAGTTATCATATTAAAATTTAACTTTATCTTCGAAATCTACTAATTCAAAACCTACACAACTTTCAAGAGATACATTTGAGAGTCTAATTCAAAAACTACTAAATTGAAGATTAAATTTGTCTAAGATTTGGAGTAAATATTTAAACCTAATCTTAAAGATAGTATAATTCTTCTCATATGTAATCGAGTTGACTCATGAACCTAACAAGTCGAACTATGTATAGTTCAAGTTCAGCTCATTTAGTTAACGAACTTAATTTTTCGCTCATACTCAACTCATTTGGTTCATGAACCTAGTTCAATGATTTAATTGTCGAATCAAATTTCGAATTATTTTCGAGTTGATTCGGTTCATTGCCAGCCCTAGCTACAGTCCACTTTATAAATATAGATACAAGAAAATGTGAGTAATTTTTTATGTGCAAAACAGAATTTCAGACAAAAGTAATGCGAGTTTCGTTACGATTACAGATGATATGCAAGTTGGGATGCATACGCTCCTATTTTTTCGTATTTCCAGAGATTCCGGTACTTTGTCAACACCCATTTCTTCTTTTGTGGATGGAACCTCTGCCAGAAAAGCAAAATAAGTGAAAAGAATATGTTTATACAATTAATATTCAACGCAAACGTAAAAAAAAAGTTGTATGTAATAACCATTAGCACTTCTCTCAAGAATTACGCAACCATCTTTTCCCGAAGTTACAATCACAAATTTGACTTTCGGCAACTTTAGAAGCATAAAAACAAGTGCTTTTGGAATAGTTGTTGCCTCTGTCCAAGCCTATCACCAATAATTGAACAAAACAAAGCTTATGCAAGAACCTTAGTATTATAATTCTGTTACAATACATAATTTCAGTTTGATGTGCTTTTGGAATTGTTGTTGCCTCTGTCCAAGTCTATTAGGTGCCAATGACATTATTTCAGTTTGTTGTAGTATTATTATTTTCATTTATGTTTATGCTCATATTCAATAGATTCACTTAGTTTATTTTATTGCAGAAGGCTGGTGCTCAATAGATTCACTCTCTTTGACTACTATCAAAAGGTTGGTGTTCAATGGCTGTGGGAGTTGCACTGCCAAAGAGCTACTGGAATTATCGGCGATGACATGCGTATTGGTAAAACTATACAAGTATTACTATTTCTGATTGCATTGTATGTTAGTGGCATGTATAATTTAGTGGCCTCTTATAAGTGTAATTGTGACCATCATGTATATTTTACTTTTAACTAGATACTAGATAATATGCATGTCAAACCCGTTTATGATTATTACATAGGTATTGATTGAAGAAAAATGATAAATAAGCTAGACCAAAACTCTCAAATTATTTAAAATGGAATTGTTTAAATATACACGAAACAAATCAAAAATTTTGGTGGAGTATGTAGTTGCTTCTAATAGTTACATCATTGCTACATGTTACTTTATGTTGAATAAATTAGAATAAATCTATTTTTTACTGCTTCTATTGTGCTACTATATTAGATGTCATTCTTGAGTTGTGTTGATTTGTATGAAAATAAGCTATCAATTAAGACATTAATTGATCCTCAAGACCACTTATATAATACTGACTTCAATTTTCAGGCAGAAGAGAAGAAGAAATTTTAGCTAAATCTATCAAGATACTGCTCTCGCTTTTTCAAAACCAAATTGACGATCATGATATCAACCAACTACACAGAAACACGTGTTTCTGTTGCTCAGGAGTTCAGATATCCGAATGTACTACTGCTTCTTCTGCAATCCTGATACGATTACATATAAAGAGTCTGAGATATTCATTGAGTCTGACATATTTATTTTCTCGGTGACAATTGCATAATCTAAGTTATCATATGCATATATGCATAAAAAACATGTAAATTTAGTCAAAGTAACTAATTCTTTCAATGTACATCAATTTTGCATAGTTGACAACCAAATAATATATAAATTCATAACTACTATTGTGCACGTGTTTAATCTAGACCCCCTTTATTATTATTATTATTATTATTATTATTATTATTATTATTATTATTATTATTATTATTATTATTATTATTATTATTATTATTATTATTATTATTATTATTATTAGTTTTACACTTGTGATCATGTGTTTGATGTGCTTAATAATTAAAGCATGTACAAATTGTTAATGTCACATAATATGGATATTAATTTGACAAGTGCTTATGAATATGATAGCACTATATATGTCTTGCATTGTTTTTAAAGCTATAATCAACGGTTTGAAGAGGTGAAGTGGTAATGTAATTTATAATGAAGTTGATTAAGGATTTAGATTTGAACTTCTACTTTATATTTGTTTTAATTTTTGGAGTGTATTACTTAAAGGTGTAGAACAGAATTAAAAATAATTTTTAAATCTTCGATTATTTTAAAGTATATAGTCTAAAAAGTGAGATAGCACCTATAATTCTATATCATTTTTATTAAAAAAAAAGGTCTGAAAAGTGAGATAACACCTATTAGTTTTAAAATGCTAAGCAAAAGAAAAAGTAGAATGTGATATGAACTAATTGAATGTATAAAACCTAAGAAAAATAAACTATTTAAAGGCACTTAAAAAATATTTTAATTAAGTTATATTATTTTAGAAATTTTGAATATTTTTAAATTTAATTAATTACTCATAAAAATATTTTTAATTAATCTTTTAAATATTATATCATCAATTTTGAATATTTTAATTAAACACTTTTAAATTATATATTTCTTTTAAAAATAATAAACTATTTTGGTAAAAAAAAATTGTTTTTTTATATTCTTATTATATTTTAAAAATAAATGCGCATAAGACATCTATACCCATGCGAACGCACGAGTATCCAAACAAAAATTCGTGCTAATGCACATGTATTCAAACTAGAATTCGTGCGAACACAAAGATATCTACACTAGAATTTGTGCAAGTGCATGAGTTATTACATTTTTTTATAAGTAAAAAAATAAAAATAAAAATATTTAAAACAATATCTGAATCCAAACACATAAAAAATGTGTTTATTTATGTTACTAATATTTATTTATACTATTAAAATAATATTTATAAATACTATGTTATTAGTTGATTTTTATAAAACTAAATAATTGTATAAATATTTTTATAAATAATAAAAAAAAACAAAATTAATATTTATATAAAATATACAATTGATCCAATATATATATATATATATATATATATATATATATATATATATATATATATATATATATATATATATATATATATATATATATATATATATATATATATATATAGTTATGCTACAAATATAAATAAAAATATATTTTTCTTTTAAAAATAATAAAAAATTGTTTAATTTTTTTATTTTTAATATATTTTTAAAACGTGTTACAAACCGGTACGAATATATATAACAACATAGTAGTATACCGCCTCACACGCTCTGCCAACTTACCGTTACATCATACCCTCCTTTCTCTATCTGGGCCCTGAATCCAAATTTCAACCAAAGTGGGCCCATATCAAAGCCCATAACAAAACTAGGGTTTCGTTATTGTTTATATACTTCACACAACACGTGTACCTGGTGCGGTGCAGTGCAGCCCTTTTCTCTGCCCTCCCAAAAATTGAAGAAAAAAACCAAAAAAATTCCAGTTTCTTCACCGTTCCGATTACCGGAGGGTTTATCCTTACTCCATATACACTCAAAGAAACAAAATCCAAAAAAAATTGAAACTACTGAGAAGTGGTTAGGGTTTAACTTCAATTGTTATTATTGCCTTTGATTTGTTAAGTTTTGATGGCGCAGATTCAGGTTCAGCAGGCCGTTCCGGCACCTTCGAACGGCGTCATTGCCACTCCGAACGCGAACCAGTTTGTTACGACGTCGTTGTACGTTGGTGACCTAGAACTGAATGTCAGCGATTCGCAACTCTACGATCTGTTTAATCAGGTTGGACAAGTTGTTTCTGTCAGGGTTTGTAGGGATTTGACGACTCGTCGTTCACTCGGTTATGGTTATGTTAATTTCAATAACCCTCAGGATGGTTAGTTTTTGTTTTTTATTTTTTATTTTTAAACTATTTGATACTAGTTTGATGAATTTAATTTAATGTGATTTTGATGAAGTTTTTATGGTTATTTTGTTGATAAGTGAGTTTTGATTTGTGATTATGTTGTTTATTCAGCCGCTAGGGCATTGGATGTGCTGAATTTTACTCCACTGAACAACAAATCTATTAGGGTTATGTATTCTCACCGTGATCCTAGTATTCGGAAGAGTGGCACTGCTAATATTTTTATCAAGGTGCGTTTTTGTTTCCTTTTAAACTCTTTTTAGAATACAAAATAATTTTTTTTTCTAGTAGTTAAGTTAATAGAATCAGTTCTGGAATTTTGTATATACCTGGTTTATATGAGTAGTTTGTTACTGGTACATCAAAGCACATCAACATAATTTGAAAAAGAAATAGCTCTAGATATTTCTAGTAGTTAAGTCAATATAATCAGTTCTGTAATATCTTATTTGGAATATATGATGTACATACGTGGTTTATATGAGTAGTTTGGAAGTGTTGGTGTTGGTTTCTGACACCTAGACCAGCACAAACACACCCTTTTTCAGAGGTGTCGGTGCTTCAATCGTTTGTTGGTGCTTTTTATTTCAATTGAATTTGTCTTTATATTCTTTAATATGGTATGATATTGGTGCTGCAGAATTTGGACAAGACAATTGATCACAAAGCTTTGCACGATACTTTTTCTACTTTTGGACATATTCTGTCTTGCAAAATAGCTACTGATGGTTCTGGCCAGTCTAAAGGTTATGGTTTTGTCCAATTCGAGAATTCTGAGTCGGCTCAGAATGCAATTGATAAGTTAAATGGAATGCTGATCAATGATAAGCAGGTGTATGTGGGTCATTTCCTACGTAAGCAGGATAGAGATAATGTTCTTAGCAAGACAAGATTTAACAATGTCTATGTGAAGAACCTATCCGAATCATTTTCTGAAGAAGACTTGAGGGTTACATTTGGTGAATATGGGACAATTACTAGTGCTGTTTTGATGAGAGATGCAGATGGTAGGTCGAAGTGTTTTGGTTTTGTAAATTTTGAAAGTCCAGATGATGCTGCTAAAGCTGTTGAGGCTTTGAATGGAAAGAAAGTTGATGACAAGGAGTGGTACGTGGGAAAAGCCCAGAAAAAATCTGAACGGGAGCTTGAGCTGAAAGGACGATTTGAGCAAACTGTCAAAGAATCTGTAGACAAATATCAGGGTGTGAACTTGTATCTCAAGAACTTGGATGATTCTATTAGTGATGAAAAACTCAAAGAAATTTTCTCCGAGTTTGGCACAATTACCTCATACAAGGTGCCCAGAGTTTATTTTTTCTATATATGTCTTTGTTAGTCAAATCTTTTTTATTTTTTTATTTATATTTATTAAGTTGTAGATGTAAGTAATTAAATTATTTTCACTGATATGGCAGATCATGCGAGACCCGAATGGAGTCAGCAGAGGTTCTGGATTTGTTGCATTTTCAACTCCGGAGGAAGCATCAAGAGCTGTAAGTCTCAAACTTTCAAACTGTGTCTCTATCGCATTTGTTTTTTTTTTTGTAAGGAACTATAGCATAACATTAATATACATGTGATGTCACTTGTAGCTTGGTGAGATGAATGGTAAAATGATTGTTACCAAACCTCTTTATGTTGCTGTGGCACAGAGAAAGGAGGATAGAAGAGCTAGGTTACAGGTAATATTTTTGTAATAGTGTGTTAGAAGTTACTTTTGTTGTGGGTTCCTATTTTAGTTTACATATACTTCCTCTCTTTTGATGGTTTGCTCAAATTAATGCTGTTATACTTCAACTGAAAACTCTTTCTATTTGAACCATAAAGTGCGATACTCTATTGTATGGTCATTGTATCCAGACTTGAGGCTTGTCATAGGGATATAGTCTACGTGTTCCTCTTTCTAGTGGAGGCACCTCATATACTTTTAGGGTTATTTTCCACCAGAAGTGAGGGTTCCATTTAGGCACCTCATATACTTTTAGGGTTATTTAATGAAAACAATTTCAAAAGTAAAATAGTGTAACTAGTGTTATATATAACAGATTGCCAGAAATTTGAAATGAGAAATAGCGGAAAGCGTATCAGCTACATAGTTGTATACATAGCTTGAAGGAGTGAAGGGACGAATATATAAAAGTTGTATACAAAACTCAAAATCAATGTATTAATAAAGCATGATACATAGTTGTATACATTGTTTGATGGAGGGAAGGAACGAACAAAGCAGTTACTTGATAATGTAGGCAGATCGGTTACCTTTTTTTTAAGGCCTTGATTTGTGTGACCTAGGTTCTAGTTGTGAAGTTTTATTGTTTAAGGTATTATAAATAATAATACCTACTAACCTACTCATCAATTCAGGTTTTGCACTTAAATTTGTTTTTTATGTTTCAAATTTTTTATCCACCACTTCTGGTTTTGTAATTTTATGTTTTAACAAGTTTTGCTGCCATTAAAACACAGATAGAGAAGTTGACCTGTTGTATTGGTTTTTTAACTCCTAATTTGTATATACCTGGTTAAACCACCTCATTCCTTTCCTTGTAAGAAGAGTCTATTAAATTAATTACACGGATATAATGCTCTGAATGCATGTTATTAAAATATTTTTACTTCAATTGTTTTTTCTCATGTTTTCTAATGACAAATAAAGTAATCATCAGCATTTTCTCATAATATCTCTGCGTTATATTCATATGCATTGCAATTACTATTAAACAAAACATCATATTCATTTTAGAATTGGCAAAAACCTTGTTTTAACAATTTTACATCTATGTTTATAAAAAGATCCAAGAAATGCAATTCAAATAGCAATCTATTGAATAGAAAATGACTCATTGCCCTGATTGAGTTGATGTTGAGTTTAATATAATTTGTTTGATTGTTAGTATTATTGATATTTAATAATATACATCACTTCCTGTATTCTATTTAGTGCCACTTAGTTTTTTTTTCCTTCCAATATTTTATTTATGGTGTATGAGGTAGATTGAAGGGTTATTTGTAGGGTGTGAGATGAGATAATTTAATTGAGAATGAATCTTAACAGGCTCAATTTTCACAAATGAGGCCAGTTGCAATTACTCCTTCTGTTGCACCCCGAATGCCGCTCTACCCTCCTGGTGCTCCAGGTCTTGGACAACAGTTTATGTATGGTCAAGGACCACCAGCAATGATGCCCCCACAAGTAATTATTGTTATAATTATTACATTTTCCTTCCATATTCAATTGTTATTTTGTTGCAGTAATGCATTGAATTTTCTTTTGAATTGTCTCCATCATTTGATTATATTTCTTTATGTTTCAAATGATAACCACTTTAGATGGAAATAAATCATTAATCACACATCCAATAATAAATGTAGGCTGGATTTGGATATCAGCAGCAGCTTGTTCCTGGAATGAGGCCTGGTGGTGGTCCTATGCCGAGCTACTTTGTTCCTATGGTTCAGCAGGGACAACAAGGTCAGCGCCCTGGTGGACGTCGTGGTGGCGGTCCTGTTCAACAATCGCAGCAGCCAGTGCCAATGATTCAGCAACAGGTCTGCTTAAGTGCCAATTTTATTATTTTTTTATTATTATTATTATTATTATTATCATTATTATTATTATTATCTTTACTGGATCTGATGATGTGATTATTGTGTTTTTTTGTTGCTAAGATGCTTCCAAGGCAACGTGTTTATCGCTATCCTTCTGGCCGCAACAATGTTCAAGATGCCCCTGTGCAAAACATTGCTGGAGGAATGATGTCCTATGACATGGGGGGTCTGCCACTCCGTGATGTACCACCTATGCCCATTCATGCTTTGGCTACGGCTCTTGCGAATGCTCCCCCTGAACAGCAGAGGACGGTATGTTCTGTTTCCTGTCAATACTTTTGTAAATTTGTGCTATGATTATTTTTTTTACTGATCCTTCCTGTGTATGGTTAGATGCTTGGAGAGGCTTTGTATCCCCTGGTAGACCAGTTGGAACATGATTCAGCAGCCAAGGTGACAGGCATGCTTTTGGAGATGGACCAGCCTGAAGTATTGCATCTGATTGAATCACCCGATGCTCTCAAGGCTAAAGTTGCTGAAGCCATGGATGTGCTGAGAAATGTTTCTCAACAAGGCAACAGCCCGGCGGATCAACTAGCTTCACTTTCCCTCAACGACAATCTTGTATCTTAGATTCTTTGAATTGTGCAACATTGAGTACCAAGCCAACATTTCATCTTTTGTTTTGGAGTTTTAGATGATGTTAGTCAAAACTAAGGAAGTTATTATGTTATCGGTACTTTTTTTATATTTGTTTTGGTATGTGGGCTTAGGATTATTAACACTTGAGTTCGATATTTATTTATGGTTGTTATGGATATTCTGTTTTGGTTATTTATCCCTTTGATGCAGTTCTCCAACATAGCACCTCTTAGCACTCTTAGCACTTTGAATGGGTATTGCAACAGAATTCTAAGCTATTATTGGGGCCTATACCTATTGTAATATGAGTGAATTGCTAGTTGCAACAATGAGGTGTAGTTGTACTAACACCAAAGTTCTGGAATGCTAATTGCAACTACGAGATATAGTTGTATTAACACCAAACTTATGGAATGTTGATGCGTTTAAGGAAGTTAAACTAATTTAGGCAGCGAACTCAAGGACTGGGCTTCCTAAACAACCATTGCCCAATGGAATGACATACTTAACATGTAAAACACTAATTCTGTAAGGAGGTTGTTAGTGGTTGTTAGTTTGCATTGTTGTTCCCCTATCTTCTATAAGTAAGAGAATGGGAATCAGTTTAGCATAACTTTATTTATAACATGCAGTTTATGGTTTCTTATTTAATAAACAAGATAGTTGTATATAAGTAGATATTTTTTATAATTTAGTTTGTGTAATTATAAGTCAATAATGCAATTTTTATTTTCTTATTTTTTAATTAAGTGTCTCACACTAACAAATTAATATAAGAGTTTCAGTTAGTTTTTTGAGAATAACATGTCAGATGTCATGTTTTCGGTATCACGGGTTGTTAATCATGTTTGTTGGAAAGATGAATGGTAACAATGACATTTTGAATTCTCTTTCAATTTTTGATGGCAAGAATTGCATTCAATGGCGAAAGCATATGCAATCTCTGTTTGTCTTTCATGAAATTTTGACAAGATCTCTCATGCTGAATCGACAAATAAGGAGGCGGAGAAGAAATATTGCATCTGATTCAATGGTTGCATATTGCATTCAATTGGTGGTAGAGTCGGAGAATTTCGACAACATTTCATGCTGAATCGGCGAAGAAGGCATGAAAGATTTCATGCTATGAAGGTGGAGAGAAAGTCAAAGTCGTCAGATTGCAGACTTTGCGACGACAATATAAATTACTGCAAATGGGAGAAGATGAAAAAACTGTAGGCTATCTATCAAAGGTGCAAAATTTCTTCCATCTTATGAAGGATTGTGGTGAAACTCTAACTGATAAGATGATAGTTGAGAAAGTAATGCGTACGTTGATCTTTTACTTTGATCACATTATCGTAGCTATTCAATAATCCAACCGTCTTGAAACCATAAAACTAGAAGATTTGGTTGGTTCGTTGGAGGTACAAGAGATTAGGATTGTCGAAAAAGGAAATAGGTTCGAGATTCGATACAAGTACTGTGAAGAAAAGTTCTTCTATTTGTTTATAGTTTTGATGAAGACAGACACATCAACAAAAAGAAGTCAAAGCTTGAAGGCAGGAGGAATCAATTTTCTATTCATTTAGGTATATGAAATTCTTGACTAAAACATTTCTTAGTGCTCAAAATATTTCTTGCATTGGAAAAATTATTTTTCATATTTGAACCACATTAAATCACTTTCAAATATAATCTGATGACTTGGATAAATCAATAGATGTTGCATAAGATTGGTTTAAATACTTAGACAAAATTTCAAAATTTCAATTTTTTAATTTTTTCAAATATTCAATTTTTGGTAAATTATGGTGTTTTGAACCGTCGTAACAGCACAAAAACGACCACAACTTGCACCGATCTGAAACAGTATTTTAAATATAAAATTTGAATAATGTTGCGAACCTTTTAAGTCAGGTATCCGTTTAACCCACTCAACAGTTACTGTAGAAGAATTAAAAAATGCTTTGTTTGAATGCACCTTTTTATCATATCTTTTCATGACATCCCTTACATCATTTCTTTTATTAAAATTCATAATTTCTATAACCATTGTCATGACTTTTGAATGATTGCTTTCATCAATAGAAATTCATTTCAAATTTTCATTTTTCATTTATCTCTTTCATACAAATATTAAAATCTTTCTACATTTATTTTTTACACATCTTTCATACTTAGATACTTTTTGAAATACATTTTTACACTATTATCATAAAAGTATCTTGAGCACTTAGAGACAATTTGTCTTGAATCTTCATACTTGAAAGAGGAGAAGGCTTTGTTATAAGTCTTAAAGAATACTACAAATCTTCATATGTTCATTTTATTGAAATTGCTGTAAAAATTCCTAAGTTTCAAGGATTATTTGGAATTAGGTGTGTACTATAAGAAGGGGGATTGTTTCTTCTTATAGGGTTTACTGTAATCCTTGTTGTCCAGGATTATTGGAAAAAAGAGAGTTGATTTTGAGATGATTGTTCTCATTTCAACTTTTGTAAAACTCCAAGAGGATTGTTCTTGGTTTGTTAGTGATAGAAAGACTAGGATAAGTATTGTTTAGGTCAAAACAATATTAAAAATCTCTTTCATGTTGAAAGAGGACTGAAGTACTCTCGGACCGTGAGGGGAACCATAATATATCCTTGTGTCGTTTATTTTCCGCACTTTATCGCTTTCATAACTTAGAAATTAATCAGGAAAGAAAACTCAACATAAGATAAAAATCGAAAATATTTAAAAGTACCTAATTCACTCCCCTCTTTGGTGCAAACTATATTTACAATTGGCATCAAAGCAAGTTATAGGTAACCTGTTCCTATTAATCTAGTATGGCTTCCGCAAGTACAAACCCTGTTTTTAAAGAAGGTGGTAGTAGCAACAAACCCCAATATTCTCTGGTGAATATTTTAATTTCTGGAAAATGCGTATGAAGGCTCATTTAAAAGCACAAGGAGATGAAATATGGTATGCTTGAGGGTTTCCATGTACCAAGCATGCGCTGGGCCACGTATAATTGCAAATCGAGATTGGAGTACTCCAAATGCCCGTTCCACATCCTTTCTAGTTGATTCTTGATATTGTGCAAATAGTTTTCTATTTTCTCCTTGCGCCATTGAGATGGTCTTAAGAAATGTAGCCCACTCAGGATATAGACCATCCGCTAAATACTACCCCATATTATATGGAATCCCATTGATTGTATATTGCACAGTAGCAACACGTCCTTCCAAAATATCGTTAAACACATTAGATTGGTTTAACACATTAATGTCATTGTTTGAGCCTGTAATACCAAAAAAATGCATGTTTAATTCATAAGTCTTGTGATGTCACTACTTCAAACATGATCGTGAGTTTACCATGATCACCTCGACAAAACTTTCCTTTCCATGTAACAAGACAATTCTTCCATTCCCAATGCATACAATCAATGGAACATAGCATTCCTGGAAATCCACATGACTCTCCCATTTGTAAAAGATGTTCAACATCATTGTTATTAGGCCTTCTTAAATACTCGGCCCCAAATACCACATTCACGTCCCTTACGAATCTCTCTAAGCACTCAATTATAGTGCTTTCACCAATTCGAACATATTCGTCTACAATGTCAGTGGAAGATCCATATGCCAACATACGAATAGCATAAGTGCACTTCTGTAATGGTGAAATAACCATATTACTAGTTGCATCGACCCTAATTTGAAAATATCTATTGTGATTTTCAAGGGTTTCTACAATTCAAAGAAACACATGCCTATGCATTCTGAACCTTCTACGAAATTGGGCATCCGTGTATACTGGATTTTCCAAGAAGTAGTCATTGAATAATCTTCTATGCCCTTCTTCACGTTTTCGATCTATCATTGATCTTCTTTTTCGCCTTGATAAACTTCCAGATTGGCGTTCCTTCTCGAGCATTAACAACAATAGTTCTCATCTGTGTTGTCCATAATTTCTTCTTCAATCACTTCTTAAAAAAGTTTGTTGAGGTTGTTTGAATTGTTTGAATCCATTAAAGTGAGAGAGGGGTGATAGAAAAATTAGAGAATAATAAGAGAAGGATGATAGGAAAATGATAGAAGAATGAAAGAAGGATGATAGAAAAATGAGAGAAGAATGAAAGTATATATAAGGCTAGTTTGAATAACGACTAATTTGAATAACGATTATTTTGAATACTAGAACATTGCATCTTATTACAATAGGTGTTGATACATAAAAATACTACATAATACTTAAATATAATAATACTAGAACATTACATATTATTACCATCCATATTTTACTTTTAACTTATTACATTGTTTTTCATGAAATTCACGTTAACTGTCATTCATCTTAGAAGTGTCTGACATGATGAATTGCATTGCTTTAAAATCCATCTTTTCCTTGACTAAATTGTTTTCTTCCTCCTCAAGTCGTGCTAAATTTTCCATTACTGCAATTCTTTTATTCATTGTATCATGTATAACACTAGAAAAAAGTTCAGTTGCATTTGCATTTTCCTTTACCTTTCCTTTTCGTTTATCCGCCTTTTGTCCCATTGGGCGCTCCATAGGAGACCATGAGTTAAGCTCATAACTTGAAGGTGCCTCTAAGTTTGGCGATGACGTGTATGCACCGCTAGCAGAATTCTTTATTCTATTTGAAGAATTTTTTATTGATGCTCCCATCCATTTAGGTTCATCTTTTAAAAGCCTTCATGCATACTCAAGATTGAATGGTGCACCTACGTCTTGAGCAAAAAAAAACATGTGCATTGACTAAGATATCTTTCTCCGATGCCCCACTTTTTTTCCAGGAACAACTTGTTTGTAACACCCAACAAATTTTTGAACAAGGCCATTTATTCGATGCCATCGAGCTTTTAATTGGCTTTGTATCTTTTCTCTGATGCCTTATTTTTTTTCCATGAACAAATTGCTTGTTTGTGAATCGGTCATTTGCTCGACATAATTAATCATCGATTGTGTAGAGAACTGGTCGGGTGGTCAGAGATGAGT